GCAAACTGCACTGCGCTTAGACGCAATCTGATCTTAGACGCAAACTGCGCTTAAACGCAAACTGCGCCAAACTGCGCTTAGACGCAATCTGCATTTAGACGCAAATTGCATTTAGACGCAAACTACGTAAACTGCGCTTAGACGCAAACTGTGTTTAGACATAAACTGTACTTAATCATAAGTATTCTTAGAATCGGCCTTTGCATCAAAATAGTTTTTATCAAACGAACGCAGCTTTCGTTATTAATCGCTGAAAGATTTCCGCTGCACTAATTCACCCCCCCCCCCCCCTCCTTAGTGCTCTCGATCCTAACACGGTTAACTCATGATTGTCCCAAGGTACGACTTATTTGTCGGGAGAAGTTCGGGATCGTCTTGAGGGGCATCTTGGTTTTGTCCGAAAACGCTCAATGTTGCTCCGAGGTGCTCTTTAGATATGTTTAGGTCCTGCATAAGCGGTCGATGTCGAAAGAATGTCCTGGCTTGACTCCTTCAATGCTCAAGTTAGTAGAGTAAGTGGAGGGGGTTTAGTAAAGCTCAAAAGAGTTAAGATAGAACTTGTTTGCCTTGTTTGACCTAAGGGCTTAGGTTTTATACTTGAGCGATTGATAGTATGAAGCTAACGATGGGTTATGATGTCCCTTATCCTACTAGGGGATCATTGATAGTGATAGTTGACTAGTACGTCCTCTGAAGGACAACGTCAGGATAGGATGCTTGAGATGATATGCTTTGTCAAGACTCTTGGCCTGTCTAGGATAGATAAGGGATGGCCCCCTGCATCGTTCATCCGAAAGGTAAGGTTGGGAAAGTTACGTCATGCCACTTGACTTTGATGTGTGTATGTAAACCTTCCCTTAGCTATGATTGAGGTGGCTTCTTCGGTCCAAGTGGCGGGGTGAGTTGGCAGCGTTGTTATTTTTCCTATCACAATCCTTTCGTATCATTTGGTCGAATAAAAAACATGTGAATTAAACCGCCAACATAATCGGTTCACTAATACATCAATTGGAATATAAGAAGACCAAAATACCCTTAATACCTCTTTTTTAAACAACTTTATTTGTCAAAAAATTATTGTGATATTTGTAGCTCACACGATAACTTGAATGTAATCTATTCAAAAAGTCTTGGGTTTGATTCTTAGTTGATCCATTTGAATTTTTTTTATTTATGTATTAATCTATATATCAAATTGAATATTATTTTATTTTCTCATATTTATATTTCAGTTATTAAAAAAAGTATATATTATTCTGTAATTCAAATAAAGTTCTAAAATTAAAAATGGATATTCTAAATGGATATTATATTCTAATTAGACCATCTCAACCTTGAAAGGATTTGGATGCTTTTTAATTTTTGTTCACCATCAAATATATTTAAATCTTAATATGAATATATTTACTCACCATATTATATTTTTATATTATTTTTATATTTAAATCTTAATTTGAATATATTTATTCACCATATTATCCATCATATATCTTAATCTTAATCTGACTCTCGGTAAAAAGGATTTGAATACTCTTAATTTTTTTCATTATCAAATGTATTTAAAATTGGATGAATTTTAAAAAAAATCACTAATTTTGAGAATTTCCTACTTCAACTTTGAAAATTTTATAAATAGCGTCAATTTTCTTTTTCAAAATATTTATTCGCTCAGCCCTTAGTCACTTGATCGTACTTTCGCCTTGAACATCCATCACCTGTAGCATAGGTGCGATCATACACGGAGGTGACTAGTGATGGAGGCTTTGCCCTTAACAGACGCTGGTAGCCACCTCCCCTCCCCTCTTTTCTATCAAACCCGTTGCTTATAACCCTCTTCTTCCTAGCCCATGACCAATAGTGAAGGCACACAAGTTACCTCATATCCTTTTTTATCCATGGCCGATGGCGAGAGGGGGCTACGGGTGACGATCAGGGTGTGTGGGTTGCCCCTCCTTCTTCCTTGTCCGTGGTTGATGATGATGAGAATCTACGGACCCCAACGGTGAGGGAGGCCTATGGACGGTGAAGAGGGCACATGCTCTCCTCCTTCCCCTTCTCCCACCGGGAGCTATAGGCTATGAGGGGAGCCTATGGACAACGACCCTCATGCCTCATCCTTTCGCAACCCTCCTGTGAGAGTTGCGAGCGATGAATTTGACAAGACAAAAGAGAGAAAAGACGACTGCTATGTCCGACGAGAACATAAGGGCGATGGCAAAGTCAACAATGGATCGGATGAAAACAAGGGTACAATATTATTTTCACACGATCAGAGCATTAGGTGAGAATTTCTTAAAGTTAAGATACTCAAAAAATTCTTAAAATTAATTTTTTTTAAAAAAAATTCACTCTTTAAAAGTTAAGAGTATTTAAATCTTTTTATATAATGATGAAAGAAAAAAAATGTTATTATATTTATTACTATTTCATACCTTCAATATAACTAATGTTCCATCCGAATATGATAACTATGATACGAAGGACCGAGGTCTCCTAAAAACATGCAAGTCCTCATGCCCGTTCCACATGGATTCTGCCACAATCAAAAGCTGTTCACCACCTAACTTGTGTTCATATATTGTACACGTAGAACATCCAAATGAAATGAGATTACGCCCAACAAGGAGTGCACCCACCAGTGACTGTGAGCAAGCACAGATGCCAACATATACAATACTACAACCTTTCGCCATCTGTGCGACCAGATCGAGTGCTTCGAAATGAACATGCATGTTTTATGTACATCAAGCTTTGTTCATCTTTGTTCCTCTATGATGTGGCATTGGAATTCCATGTGAAGAGATTGCGGGCTGAGATGAGAGAACTTGAAGCCAGGGCAACAAATGCTAGAAATGAGATGGCAATAGAACCGTTTGCCATGTCCATGAATTCATCAGCACCAAATCTCGATATCCAGAGATCATTGCGAGAGGCGGCTGCAGAGGATGCAGACATCAGAAGGTAAGCCAGTACCTGCAACAAGCAAGCAAAACCTTCAAGAACAGATCCAATCCGTGCAACTTAAGCACTTTGGGCTAGTAGTTATTCATATGAGTGGTTCTGCCGTCAGTTATCCTCCTGTCAGTTATCCAACTATTTGGGGTTGGCTATTTCTCCTGTATTCTTCTCGGCTTAAAGTTGAGATTAGCGATTGTTAGGTCAGTGATATCTTAATTGATTGGCCATGTAATTCCATAAACCTGAGTAATGATGTAATGATGACGTAGTATTGCAGCTTAAAGGGCATTGTTAAATCAGCCAGCATGGATCAAAATGGCAATCAGTCTGAAAGGTCATGCTCAGCTAAAGGCTTTTATGCCTTTTCGACATCCTAACCCACTTATTGTTGTAAGCTATTTCTTGTGGACTAAGCAAAAGCATAACATGGACCTAAATTAAAGCAAAAAAAAAAAATCAATTTTTTGGTTGATTCAAATGTAATGAACTTGAACTTTCTTGTCTTTCTTACAATTTCTGACACCGAAAGAATAGATGATCATACAACCAAACAAACAGTTAGCCTATGAAAAGTTACTGGGATGAAAAGACCACAAAAAATGTTAATATCTAATCATCTTAGGGAGTGCTACAATGACAGAAGAAAAGAATACTTTTGTTCTTTTAAGCTGAGCTTAGATTGTTTTCGGAACAAGCATTGAAATACTGCATCTGGTATATAATTGCCCAACATTGACCAGTTCAAGAAAACAAAAACAAAGGAACTGATTACCAATGAGTGATATCAGAAAAAGAATGAAGTATTCTTAGTGTCATATACTGGCATCAACTTGAGATTAGAACTCAATTCACCTTTGTTGATCTTGAAAATAATTGCATGAAGTATGAATCATATCTGAGGAAACCCCATCTAGAGAGTTCAATCCCAAAGGATTTGTGTAAATCGACACCTCCAATGGACTTGAGGTTAATCAGTATAGGTCTCCTAACAAGAAAACTAGACCCTTTTGTTTACTGTTATATCCCTTCTCAACAGCATGGAAACCTATGTGTTGTCAATTCTTTCATATTATTCATCAATTCTAAATTGTCAAAATGCATTTAAATAAAAAAGAGACCATTCAGGGAAAATGCATTTAAATAAGCAAGCGATCATTGTCTAAATTTCTTCTACATATTCAATCTTAGAAATGAAAATATGTGTTGCATATACAGGGAAAAGCTTGAGCTGCACTAAGATCGTAAACTCAGCCCTAGCATCCTCAAAAGGCATATATAAGATCCAAAAACACTTCCCAATGGGAAAGTTAGGATAACCGAAATTTAGCCACACAAACATGTTAATATCTTGACTAAAATGTACGAGTTAATATGAAGTTGGACTATGAATGGGCGAATAATTTGTCAAAAACCCTTCTACATTTGCCCTCCGAAAATTGCAAATAACATATCCATCAGGCTATACCGTTTTCCTTAAAGAATCTTAATCTTAAAAGAAATGGAAGCTACTTGATTCCTTTATACTCAGCTCAGACTGTTCTGATTCAACATTCACAAGCCCTTCGACATAAAAACATGGAACTGATGACCTTACACGTGACCAGTGATTTAAAAAGCGCTAAGCGCCAAGGTCCAAAAACGACCGAGGCGCCTAGGCGCTCGCCCGAGCGAAGCGAGATGCTAAAATATAAAAATATAAAATATAATTATTTAAATAAAAAATATGCTATTAAATTAAGAAAATCGAGTACAAAATCACAATGTCATATTAATAAAAAGTCTCAAAAATCAAAACAATAAAATTTTACATCAAATCTATTGAGTTGCTTTGTATACTTGCCATTTATTCTGAAACCTAACAATAATTTTAAATAAATAAAAATTAATAGTATTAAAATCAAAATAATATATTATTAATCTAATAAATAAATATACTATTATTAGTATACAGTTAGCAGTATACTGTTAATATACTGTTAACGGTATAGTGAGAAGAGTGCGAGAAGACCGAGGCTGCTAAGGCAACGACAGCGGGAGCGGGAGCGGCGAGCGATAGCGGGAGTGGGAGTGGGAGCGGGAGCTGCGAGCGGCAGCGGGAGCTGCAAGCGGCGAGCAGCGACCGACGACAACAGCGATGAGCGACGATTGTGGCAGCGACGAGTAGCGACAATGGCAGCGGTAACGGCAGCAGAGAGCAACGACAACGGAGAAGAAATCTCGACGGCAAAATCGCGAGTGTTAGGGTTGGGGAAGTCGAGGAAATCGTGAGAGGGAGCCTATCGGTGATTTAGTTGGTTCGATTGAACCAACTAAAGCACCAGAGACCGAACCAGACGTAAAACACTGGTTCAGTCACTTGGTTTAACCAGAGCGCTCGCCCGAAGCGCCCGGCGCCTGGGCTCGGGTGAGCGCCTAGGCGGCGCCTCATTGAAGTGAGGCGCTCGGGCCTCGCCTCACCTCGCCCGAGCGCCAATTGAAATCATTGCACGTGACATCATAATGTCCAACATGAACACCAGTCTTGTGGCTGCTCAAACATAAACTGTGTTATACAGTCCTTAAATAGTACATATGCAATTGGCTATAGGATAACACTACTTCGTAGGAAAAGAACACATCTTTTAGCCATCGGTGTGTGAGATTTTGGGAGAAGGGTTAACTCACCTGATCCATTGAGAGATCGAAGTAGTAACTTATGGGACGGCGAATGATGAGCTTCTTCAGGATCAAATAGTGGACCTTCGTGTATGCCTGAAACGCCGAGTACGCAAACGCAATCGCATTAACGCAGACCAAGTATCTGTTGTCACCAACGATCAAGAGATAATGACCATTCGATGTCGATCAAACGGACAGGAATATATCGGCCAAAAAGAACGATGACAGAGAAAGATGCTTTTGAATTGACCCAACCAATAAGACATGACGTTGGTGGAATATATCGCCCCGTACCGGTATTCACTGTAACGGCCGAAGGAGTCGCCGGCCCACCCCTCGGTCGAATCGGCGGCCATGACCGAGAAAGACACCAGGCTCAGCAGCGCCGCGGAAACCCTAAGCCCGAACGCCGCCCTCGTCACCGCCCGCCGCCGCAAGATCCCCGGCACCGCCCCAAGACCACTCTCCGCCTTCCGCGCGGCGCAACAGCCGTTCCCCAGGCCTCGGTCTCCCTCTCCGCCGCTGACGGCAGCTCCGACGACCTTCACATCGACCGCCATGTCCTCCTGGCTCAGCCGGTCGACGATCGCCAGAGCCATCATCGCAGGCTCCGGGGACCCCGGCTTCTCGGGCGTGTTCTGAGGCGCAGGCGGCGGGGCTTCGCTCTCCGCCTCTGGGGATGGTGATCGCTCAGGGGAACTCATCTCTCTCTCTCTCTCTCCTCGAATCGTGGGTTTGGGGATAAAAAATTTCTCTTTTATCGTCGAAGCTGGACTTTTGATCAGATTCTACGAATATGGGGAAGGGCATTAGGGAAAAGCGAAAGCCTTGAGATCGGCGATGCTTTGCTTTCGCTTTTGGGCATTTGTCGATTCCATCCTCAGCAGCAGTGCTTCAGGCTGGCGCAGTGATCACCTCTCTCGCCTGGGCCGGGGACCACACAGACAAAAGGCGAGCTTTTCGGGTAGGAATCTTTGGTTATTTTTACGTTGGGTGCCTGTGACAAACGATGACGACTTGACCCCATCAGCTGCACTGTTGAGCTGAGCCGGCAATTCGGGTTGAAATTGACTCGAACCCATCCGGTCCAATTGCAATTGAGTCGTTGGGTCAGGCTGTGGTGTCACGATAGAACCGAGATTGGTATTACAACATCATTTGCATGTCATGGCCTCCCATCTAAAATCCATCCAGTTTTCATTGACGGCAACATACCACAGAATCTTAACCACATGCAATCCAAGAACATGGCACACACATACTACACACACGCATGAAGACACAGTGGTGGGTGGTAGCAAGAACTTGGACGTCCTTGGCTCACTCATCTCTCTTGATTCCTGAGAAGAAAGTGTTGATGGTTGGCATGATCTCCGGAGGACGTCGGCTGAGGAACCTGCGCAGGCCGTGCTGGCTGTACCTTTGAGCTTCATCTGCGTTCTCGAGGACGGGAGTGGTGCGATGAGATTTGTTGATTCTGCAGAGTCCAAGGTCGTGACACTGATTACTATACAGTTTGCGACTGTAGAAGCTCCTCAAGTTCTTCACGAGATTATATATAGCAAACGAAACTGTTAGATACCAGACCTGACATCAGGGTTCAAGAACATGTTCCTGGTAAGCTGGAACAAACACAAGCTCGTCACGAAGGTCATCGCAGCCATCAGCGGATACACCTTACAAGGAAGCCATTGCACCATCACTGGCATATTGAAACGAGACAGAGAGATTAATGATCACAACCATACCTCTGGCTTCACCCAACGCCCCATCTAAGTTCCCAGATACAGGTTAACCCGGATATGCTCGATCTTACTATGGATACACGTCTAAGCACACAGGAACACAGGTATATATATATATAGTATAGGACTGAAGGAGAAGTAAACTAAGGTTGATCATGTCATAGTCATGACCTAGACTTTGGGTTTCGGTGGGCATAGCATCGACGTAAAAACCAGCAGCGAAGCCTCCAGTTTTATCCCCGTATCATCGAAGTCAAATAGTTTCTTCCAACTTGGCCATGGCAGAGGCGTTGACGTTCCAGAGTCATAGCTTTAGCTTCTCAACTACAGTGGATTGTTCTTGAAGAACTCTCCACCTAAAGACCCCACCTGGAGTTGACAGCAACTGAAGCTGAAGCTGATCTTTAGTTATGACAGAACATTCTTTGTGAAGAGCTTACGTGCAAATGACTTCATATGGAAATTGATTCGAAGCATTATTTCTATGAGGTTTCTCAGGCTGCTTCCACGCCTTGTGTAAGAAATCCGTGGGCGATACAGGTTTGATGTTTCAATGGATATGACTGCTTGAGTTCCTACGTGGGATACAATCAACCTCAAGTAAACTTGCATTCCCAGATGATGTTCGAGTTGTCACCTCATGATGTATATGAGACTGTTCACAAAACAAGAACAATCCTGATTACTCTGGTCATCTTTTGACTGTACACAGAGAGCAGGTGATGGCTATCTGTAATCTCCTGTCTTGTAAAAGACTGGTCAAACCGTAGTTCCCATGGCGGTCATCTGAGTTAGAAGGAGATGAAGTGTCGTTGCAAGAGGACGAGTGGACGACGACGACCAATGTCTTTTGGACGTGGAAGGATCCGATCGCTGTAATTGGACTCGACTCGAGTTAGTCCAACCCATTGGTAATTGATTCGAGGAAACCTCGTTGCCGTTGTGGCTGTCATGATTGATCGATTGATTGATCGATTGGTGATGTAAATCCAACGCCGAAGGCCGATCAGTTACTGGTTCCTGGTGCCCGAATCTTGATGCATAAAGAGCGAGCGAGATCACTCAGTTCACAGTTGCTTGCCTTCGCTCCGCTTCTTCCACCCTCCTGTTAGGACGACTCGGCGAGCACGGAGACGGCCGTCGCACTCTGCTGCGGAGTCATTGGATCCTTCTTCTCTTTCTCTCTCTGCGTGTGCGTCTCGGTCGCGGATCCTTCTTCCTGGTTGGTATGCCACCCTGGGCCTTTCTCCGATCCACGTAAGATCCGTTAGGGATATCGTGATTCCTCTGTGGACTTATTGGACATATGAATCTAATTTCGTTTTGGATGTTAGGTCGATGGATTTATTGAGTGTCAGGCATCGTTAAATTGATTGTTTAGGGTTTCTTTTTCTTGTTTTCTTTTGGATGAATCCTTCCCATGCTATAATGCAGGAATTCTTGTGCCTTTAAGATATCAATTCTAGAAATTTTTCGTTCGTTAGCACCTTTTACCACTTCATCGATCGCTTTGATGACTAGATTGGCAGAACTGTGCCTGACTTACCTTGTTCTTGTTTCATACAATAATCGATTACATTAAAAGTGCGAGTGAAGTCACGGAAATCTGTGAGGTTAATTTTGCTTTTCGATAGTAACTTGTGGGTGGGTAAAGTTCCTATTTTTAGATGTAATTCTGCAGTGGTTAAGCTTTCTCTGCTCCATTTTTGATACAAGCTACCATCATATTTTTCAGTTCTACAAGACCCAAGGGGCTTGCAGTTTCATGATTGTCTATTTTATCCTAGTATGGATTATTGATGTCAGATAGCTGGAAGTGGTCATGAGCCGCCTCGATCATACAATGCCCAAATTCTTACACATGTTGCTTGTCATACAGATTCTTGTTCTAGTGAGCAATTTCTTGTGGTTGTTGTCATGTAGTTCTTGCATCATGCGGGCAAGTGATTACTGATTGCATCATGTCTTAAATAATAACATTGGAGATTTTTCCAATATATTAGTTTTATTTAGCTTTGCTACACTTTATCTAGTAAATTAACATGATAATGGCAAAATGTTTGTTGGAGAACTTCTTGCATCTTGTTTCTTGTGCGAAATTATCAGGTTGCTGTTAGGTGACATTTTTGCATGTTTGTTTAACAATTTTATGCTGTTCGCTAGGTAGGCTGCTTTAGGGTGGTCTGGCCGAACAAGACTCGAGAAGAAAGAGAGAAAGGCTTTCGAAGGTATGATTTGAGATACTGAAGATATTATGTTGAAGTCTATGCAATTTTTTGCAGTTAGTCTGTTGTGCTTGTGCTTGTATTCTTACCGCATACGATGATCTGGTTCAGTTAACTTTTTTGTTAATACTTCTCATTACTTCTTAATCTTTATGCTTTAGTAGCACATAGAAACAATTGCTTGTGAAGTTCTGGAATTAAGCTATATTAGAGTTTTACAATCAAGAACAAATTGGATTCAGTTTTAATTGAAAGTTCCAAGCTAGTGAAAGCGACAATGTTTGTTGAAGTAATTTGATCAACTTCATATAAGTCACATATAGCTCATATAATAAATATGCAGCAGCATCATTCCATATGCCACATTATGTGAAGTTTGCAGCAGCATGTATGGCCCAGGTTGAGATAGTTGAGACTTTACGACTTTATTGTTGTTGTATGTGTATCCCAGGTTGATGGAATATGCATTTTTATGTGTGAATTACAGCAACACAAAATTTAATATATATTTGTGAATTTGATATTTAATTTGGTTCCAGAATATCTGGTTCTTTGTTAGAAATCATGACTGATTTTGAATTGTAAGGACATTGCAATTGTCCTTTCTATATCCTCAGTTGAGGATGGCAAGTTTAAAACAGTCCTTTCCACAAACGAATAGCATCCATAGCCAATTTGAAGGGGATATTGGAAAAGATTATTCTTAAGAATTGCACCTGTCATAATCATGTTTGTGATCTAAAGTAAATGGGATCTTGATGGATATTTGGATTAGGTTTGTCACTAGTTTTCTTGTATCTTTACTGGAGATGTGTTAGTAGGGATCAGGATGGATAAAAAAATCAATCATAATGATTCATTTAATATCACTCAATGCTACTTTCCTGCTAGAAAATGTGGCACGCAACATTCATTGGATTCACCAGTTTGTGAGCTCGAGTTGGAAGATTTTCACGAATAAAATTATCCAAGCTGCCTTAAGTTGTAGATGTACTTCAAGATCATTTTGTTTGTCCCTTAAAAGAGATAGCCCGAAAAGTTCTTAGTTTATATTTTATAAATCGTATGCGAAGACATTTGACAATGATAAATTCTTTAAAAGCCCATTTTATTAAAAAAACAACCATCTGACAATCATTTGGCATGTTTTTCCTTGAAATTTTGAAATGTGAACACAAAAATTTTCAAGATCTGCAGCTTTTTACTCTTCCTAAAGGAATTTGTCACATAGCTTTTTCCACAAGCAGCCATCCTTTTGGTTCCAAAACTAGGCTTTTGTTAAATCATAGTCGGAAGCATTTCAGATGAAGCTGCTAATCCATCCAAGTCTCTGCATTACATGCTTAATCCCTTTCACCACACTAAGATCAGAAAATACAAGAAAAGAGTATGTAAATGACTGTCCCTGTACATGTCCAAGGATGTTAGAGCAATAAGTTCCTTGCATATCTAAATAGAATGGGAAGCCATTTCTCACCCTGTAATATCATTTCATATGTTTTATCTTTTCCTTTTTTCTCTAGATTTTATTAGAAATATTTCATTTCAATATCATCTTGCATGTCACATAATTGTTGGATTGCCTCCTCTAGATGTCCGTTGACACTGAAACACCAAAAGTCGTTCCTAGCAGTGAGAATGATTTGTCATCAACATCTGCAAGTGGTTTGACCTGGAAGGACACTCTAATCAGCTTCCGACAGCAAGCATCAATATATGGTGTAGCTGCTGGCTATTGTGTTTCTGCATCCCTCCTGTCCATAATCAACAAATGGGCAGTCATGAAGTTTCCCTACCCAGGTGCTTTGACAGCCTTACAATACTTAACCAGTGCATTTGGTGTTCTGGTTTGTGGGTGGTTAAGGCTTGTGGATCATGACAGTCTTGACCTCATTACCATGTGGAAGTTCTTACCAGCCGCAGTCATCTTTTACCTGTCCCTCTTCACAAACAGTGAGCTCCTCCTCCATGCCAATGTGGACACTTTTATCGTCTTCCGTTCTGCCGTTCCTGTGTTCGTGGCTGTTGGAGAGACTGTCTTCCTTAACCAGCCATGGCCTTCACCCAGGACATGGATTTCCTTGGCAACTATCTTCGGCGGCAGTGTCATCTATGTTCTCACAGACTACCAGTTCACAATTACTGCCTACGCTTGGGCTGTGGCGTATCTGGTGAGCATGTCGATAGATTTTGTGTACATAAAGCATGTTGTCATGACCATTGGGCTCAACACATGGGGCTTGGTGTTGTACAACAATTTGGAGGCTTTGATGCTCTTCCCCTTGGAGTTACTCATAATGGGAGAGCTGAAGAAGATTAAGCATGACATCTCTGACGAATCGAACTGGTATTCTTTCAGTGTGGTTTTGCCGGTGGCTGTGTCATGCTTGTTTGGCTTGGCAATATCCTTCTTCGGATTCTCCTGCAGAAGGGCAATCTCTGCGACAGGTTTCACGGTGCTTGGCATAGTGAACAAGCTCCTCACTGTCGTGATAAATCTGGTGATATGGGACAAGCATTCCACCCTGATCGGCACGATAGGTCTGCTGATATGCATGTTTGGAGGTGTCCTCTACCAGCAGTCCACTACCAAGCCTAAGAAGGCAGAGACTGAGCCCAAGTCTCATATCAGAGACGAGGAGCAGCAACAGTTGTTGGAGATGCAAGCTCCTGCAGAAACTGATTCAACCAGGCAGCATATTGTCTCAGTAGATACAAAATAAGATTTTTTTACTATTCATTGAAATCATGTGGGAATTCTCTCACTTTCAACTTTCAACGGCTAGCTTGCCATAATAGAGTTACCGAGAAAGTTGCTTGCAGATGTAGTACATCAGTTGAAGCAGCATATCGACAAAGTTTGGGGCTGTGCTCTCATCCAAAGTCAGAAATTGATTGACATAATATGAGAATATATTTTAGCTGAGCTAAATGTTTGTGGACACCCTCAATTTGGTTGACTATAATTGGTTCATTGAATGGTACACCAATGGCAGCAAGCCATCGATTCCAGCTGTCGGTATTTTGATCACCTTCTTGTGGAGAATCGTAGTGCCATTATATGTCTTTTCCTAATATTTCTAATCAAATTTATGGTGTTCTTATATATATATATATATATATTGGAAATTATTGTACTATAGGTAATTGGACAAGGGAGATGGAATACAAACTCCAATACTGATGGTTTGTACGCATGTCTTATCCTTCATCAGGTAAACACCATGGAAAGCATGAAGACTGTCGAGTATCCCTTTATCGCTCATCTTCTTATGTAATTGACCATCAGGGGGTCCTAAAATCTCCCAATTTGGTTGCTTACGTTGTACACAAGTGAAATGAAATGGCATGTTATAAGTATTATATACAGAATTTTGACAATTAACCCGGTCAACCGATGTGGTAGACCACTCCCTGGCACTAAAATATGTAGGCAGCAACGGAATGAGAGACAGTCAAAAGATCATCGCAAACCCTTGAAATCAAGATCTAATCTTCATTATTTACTCTTTGTTAATAAAAAAAAAAGACATTTAAGACAATCCTCCATTCATCTTAGCCACTTTCATACCCCTATTATGATCTTCTTGTTCTTGCACTCAAGAATATCTCAAGAGATTGATATGCTAAGGAATAACTCAAGGATGCTATCGTTGACGCAAGCTGTGCTCATTGCAGAGTCAAGGCTGCTCTGAATGCTTTGTGATACTTCTCAAGAGAGCCAAGAGTT